CAAAAGATCGGCCACTTTTATCCACCCAGATTCAGATACCCACTTATACACTCTCAAATGCCCATCCGAGCCCAGCCAGCTTCATGTATTGTGCAGAAGATGCTCAAGGGACTGGAATAAAGCTCACATGCGTGGTAGAATTTAAGAAGACAGCCAAGCTTCCATTTACAAACTCGACATATGGAGACTCGTTACTTGCATTCAGGTAATCCATATGATAATGGTAATAGATCTGAGGAGGGTTAGTCTCCATCTGAGCATAAAAAACATCGCTATACATGGATAGTGTAATCACACCGTCTATGGTCCAATTTGTCTTGGAAACACTGGGCATCAATCTTTGCCCTGCCATCAACTTTTGTCCAGGGACAAGTGAGTCGGTTGGCTGATCAAAAGACTGCCAAACAGTCACATTATTCTTATCAAACAGCACGACGTTCCCCAAATCCGTCAAGTTCAAGCCTACAACAGATTGACCAGAAGTGTTTGCGGACCAAGCAACAGTACCATCACCATCCTTCAACAACAAATCGCCTTCAGACGTTAACGTTGCACCAATCTTTACAGGATTGTTTCAATTGGCAGACCACACTACTTATGGAATTCCATTATTGAATGAACCATCAAAGTCAACTTGGACGATGAAAACAGCAAAGAGGAAAGTGGTGCAGTTACCATTACAGTAGAAGCCACAGGCGTAGGCAGGGCCATAAGCTTCTTTGTCTCGGAGTAGAATTGACTGAATGGTCGTTCCATCTTCATATGGCATGTTGAAATCAGCTGTTGCGTTATTCGTCCACTGTGTTGAAAGCATGGCAGTTGGATAAACATAATCTTGAGCCTGAGAATCAATAAAGTTTGAGAACAGAAACAGAAAAACAAAGGAAAAAGAAAGAAGAAAAGAACAGAGACTGCAGAATGAGACCATGGCATAAAGTGAAAATTTGAGCGGAGGGAAGATTGAGAAAGGAAGAGAGGAGGGAAGAAGATGAGAATGAGAGATTGAAGTGGAGGATTGAAGGTTTTGAAAAACGGAAGCGTTACATGAGCATCTCGCATTTCATGGGAACAAATGAAAAAATGTGAGTCAAATTTGCAGGGTGGTTGTATTAAGAACGCGGAAGTTATCGTGTTTCTGGATTTATACAGTTGTTTTGTTACGATGTAACCAAAGCAGCTTTGGAGCCCGACCATCTCTTGTTGCTTCTTTTTAATATCGAATATGAGTTATTAAATGAAGTGAGCAGAGCAAGTTGGAAGGAATAACAGGACAATGCTCAAGCGAGTGGATCACTGCCCATTGGTTATCTACAATTGAGGATTATCTCCGAATCCTGTTCTTATTAAACGTAATAGATCAATGGTCGGTTAATAGAAGTGGCTCTCCGTTTCAAATGCATTATTAATACAGGAATCATGGCTATATATTCGTTTTGGAATTGTTAATTAGATTACAAAATCTTGTCTAACTGCACAGCAACAAATTATGTTGCTCTTTTTTCCTCCTTTTGCCTGGCAGAACATAAATTAGGTGAGTTAACCCAGCAGACTCAGTGAAGAGGTTGACGGACAACTTTCTCGAGAACAATCCATGTGCTCTGCTGGCTAAGCATACGCATCAAGCTGCATGATTCTTGCAATGCTAACTGGATATAGCTGAGCACAAAACTGCAAGTAAGCAATTCAACTTTGGTATAGAAAATGAATTGAGGTGATTCTTTCCTCAATCACGTCATTGGTATGTTGCATGTGAGCTTTTACTGAAGTAAGTAAACATAAATCCGACTAGAGAGCCCAAATTCGTTATCTACAACTTTCAAAAACTTTTCAGTGAAAATTCTTCTATAAATCAATCACGTATACACTTTGGTGACAAAGACAAAGTGTCATGCCACAGAGTTCATGGCAAAAGTACAAAGCAATTAGGGAAAGAATAAAAAAGTGGAACTCTTTCTCTCTAGATAAGTCCATTTGCCTGCTTGGTGTTACCAACGTACCCTATGGAGAATTGAAACTCACGCTAGTTTCATTTGTCACCTTGGACCAGAAAGAACTGACGATAATAAGGCAGTGGTAGCGCAAAATTGGTACTCCCTTTATACACTCCTTGAGTTTCTTTGACTGAGGGCAGAGCACAGAAGTTGTTAGCCAGATCAGATTGGATTTCCATAGCACCATACCTTGATGACTGCTGACACTGAAGGCCTGTTTGTGAAATCACTTTTCAAACGCCATGCGGCAATTTCTACCATGTTGGCAGCCCGTTGTCCATTTAGTTACATATCCTCACTACACTGGTCATAAATGTCCAATCATCTTTCTTCTTCAGCCTTTCTCTTCAAAAGACTAAGTAAATGCATAGCTTCTTGATCCACCACAAACTATCTCCAGGATTACCATACAAAACCTGTACACATCCACCTTTTCAGTAATTACAGTACTCAGCCATTTTGGGGCCCACTAACCAGGAGTTCCACTCATGGTAGTGACAATTTGGCTTTAGTCCCTATCAATCAACTTAGACAATTCAAAGTCAGCAACCTTAGCATTAAAATTATCATCCAAGAGGATATTTGGGGACTTAATGTACAAGTGAACTATCTTCTATCTTTTGACCAAAAAAAAAAAGAAACTATCTTCTGTCTGCAATCTTCACAGAGATAATTCAGTCTTTTTGCTATATCAAGAATGATCTTCCTCTTTTGTGGCCAGTTAAGAACAGATTCACTGGACTTGCAAATGATCCATCTATTTAGAGATCCATTTGACATGTACTTATAAACAAGGAGCCTATGAGATTTCTCAGCACAAATCCCCCTAATCTCACCAAGATGACATGATGAATGCTGCTAGTAGTCTCACCTTGATACATTCTTTGAGTTTTTTTGACTGAGGGCAGAGCAGAGAAGTTATAATTTAGATCAAATGGATTTCTCTAACACCATCCAACACCTTGATGACTGTTGACATGGAAGGCCTCTTTGTGAAATCATTTTGCAAGCACCATGCGGCAATCCTTATTATGTTGCCAGCCTGTTGTTCATGTAGTTGCATATCCTTGCTACTCTAGTCAACAATGTCCAACAATCTTCCTTCGTTGGCCTTTCTCTTTAAAAGACTTAATAAACGCATGGAGGGAAAGAGAGAGAGTGTAGAGTGCGAACTTGGCGGGCAAGGAGAAATTGGGGAAGAAGAGGAAGAAGAAGACGAAAAGAGATTGAAGCGTGGGAGTGCAATGAATATGACAGGATCCATGGACAAGGTGGTCAAGTTCGGAAAGTTTAATAATCCTTTTGTCTCTCGATGGTGGCTTGTCGCAGAAACAGGACACTGTCAAAACAGAAAAGAAAATTTTGACCAAAAAATAAAATTATCTTATATTTTTCTGGTTCTTGAACTTTGACTCAATGTGTAATGTAATCCCTGAACTTTTAATTTATTCAATATAGTCCATAAGCTTTAACATAATATACAATGTAGTCCCTAAACTTTTAATGTGTTCAATGTTATTCAATTTAATCCCTAAATTATGTGAAAATATTGAATGTAGTCCTTCCATTAATCCAAGTTCATGAACTACATTGAACATTTTTATATAATTCAGGGACTATATTAAATATATACCAAAAGTCCAGGGACTACATTGAATAAATAAAAGTTCATGAACCACATTGAACATTAGACTAAAGTTCATGGACTATGTTAAACAAATTAAAAATTCATGAATCAAATTGCACATTGGGCCAAAGTTCATAAACTTTTAATGTCATTATCCCTATATTTTTTGGAGCCCACATTATCCTAATTTTCGTTTCTAGTGTATAATTTTGATTGAAAAAAAGCTCACATAACTAAATGATAGAGATATACAAATATACAATTTTCCAGCTACTTCTAGCTTTAATTTTGTTTTACAAAAAAATGCTTTCAGAATCTAAACTTAAGGGACACGGAGAAGACGTAAACCTTTCCAAATACACTTAAACTTCTTGAAAGTATGAGATGTAATCAAAGTATATCTTCTCGAAATTATCGACTTATAAAACCATATGTGATTTATTCGTAATTTTTCAAATTATATAACATCGCATACTTTCCTCTTGGTTTTCTTTTTTTATTTTGAGTTTAAGGTCAGATGGTATTTGAGTCAACTTTCGAACACCTTGACGAGCTCACAAATTCTATAGGCCCAATCCACCACAACCCTTAGCACTCATCAAGTCTTTCTTTTGTCCTTCTCCAATGTTGCGTTGTCTGCCTAAGTCCCAACTTTTTTTCCTTGTTACCCTAATCGATTGCTGTAACTTTTTCGATGTGTGCAATCAAACCTTTCAAATGTGGTGTCTCAACAAAACAGAAAACATAGTTCAGTAGAAAAAAACAACGAAATTGTTGAGGGACATGCCATCATCCTCTTGCCACCCCGATCTTACCGTATGGGAAAAACAACATTTATGCATTGGTTACGCGATTAACTGAACTTCTACTTCTAGTTCCATCAATTTTCGAGTTTTCTAATCAATTTCATGTTACTCTCAATCAAATGTCATTAAATCAAATGGGCCTATTTGGGAGACTCCCTGACCTTGGCCTCGAATGAGGCAAAGTTTCTCCGGCTGAAAAGGTCAAAAAATGTCAAATGTTAATGAATGCTCCGAATATACTGCCGTTTCACACCATATTGCTAATGTCATTAAAACTTTTATTTCAGACTCTATAATCTTCAATCCAATTTCGTCAATGAATAGAACAACTAAACTTTTGGCAGATGGATGACTCACGAACTGTAATTTGGCAGTAAAATCCACAATTAAAGTTTTGGCCGCACATTGAATGAGTTGAAACTGAAAAGGGCTTGAAAATCCAATCTCTTCTTCCTCATAAAACCACAGTTTCTGTCTCTGTTTAACTTCTAGTTTCAGCAATATGTCGTCCTATATAGAAGTGAAATCCAATAAGATCCATCTTGCAACCTTACTGATTGTGAGGAATGTAAATCACTCATCCCTCCATCAATCACCTTTCCAAATTTGATTCGATTCAACCCCCCAAAACATCCACCTTCTCTCTATTTATAGTCCCCCCAATTGTCACTAATCTCTGCTGCTAATCCTCTCACAGTTTCAGACACGTTTTGAGTCCCAACCAACCTATCTCTCTCTGTCATGGGTGTCTTTGGAGGAGCAAAGTTCGTGGTCATTTCTCTACTTGTGATTGACCAAGTGGTTGCAACGTTGGGACATGCTAAGGGAAAGAGGGAAGAAACTGTCGACACCGGTTCCTGCGATGCCTTCACAGGAACGTGGGTCCATGACGGTTCATACCCTCTCTATGACCCATCCCAGTGTCCCTTCCTAGAGAAGCAGTTCGACTGCCTTGAGAATGGCAGGCTCGACAAAGGCTACCTCGAGTACAGATGGAAGCCGGCGGGTGACTGCGACTTGCCGAGGTACGTTCCCTCACTATCTCTCTCCGCGCGTGCTCGATAACACCCCGCTTCAGACCCAACTTGGCTACGACCATATGAATGTTGTTGGTCTTTGAGTTCGTTGTTCTTGTCCGCTGTTAATGATGATCGTGGTTTTGGAGGTGCATAATGGAGATGCTGTTGCAGGGATTAGAACTTCTTCATAACTTAAAAGCAACCTACTTACAATCCAGAAATGTCATGAGGAATAGATAGAATAGGTTTGATAAGGAATCTTGTATCGGGTCTCGACAGATAAGAGAAATACTATCAATCCTCAACGAATCGATTTGATAGCTATAGGTCTACAATTTATGTACCGTAACATATATCTTCTCTCCCGATTATTTAAAGTTGCTTGGTTTAGGTTCGACGGCCGACACTTTTTGTCGAGATTGAGAGGGAAGAGGCTGATGTTTGTGGGGGACTCGTTGAGCTTGAATCAGTGGCAATCCCTCGCTTGCATGGTTCACACCGCGGTGCCCGAGGCCAAGTACACTCTGACAAGAGTTGCTGGGCTTTCGAACTTCTCATTCCCAGTGAGACCTCTTGTCTTGACTTACTCTTTGACTCGGAAAGTCAAGTTAAAGAGATGACATTGATGGTTCATCAATTGTGATACGTGTGCAGGAATACGGAGTGCAGTTGTTGTTCTTCCGAGACCCGTTCCTGGTGGACATAGTGAGCACGAGCACCGGGCGAGCTCTCAGGCTCGACTCTCTCCAGAGCGCCGAGATTTGGGAGGGCGTTGATGTGTTGATATTCAACTCGTGGCACTGGTGGCTTCATGTTGGCAGGAAACAACCGTAAGTGTCCGTCTTAGCAAGCTTTGCATCAACTTAGATTCCAGATCAAGTCAATAGCATTTCAAAGAATATGTAAGACCCACACTGGATCTCACTAGTTAGCACAAGTTCTTTTATGGTTTTTGCACCTTAATTATTTTGGTTTAGAGGCAATCAATGCACGGGTCCAAGCCAGGTTGGGCCTAATTTGGTGCCCATGCCCACCCATAAAAATAATTATATATGCAAGCTCCCGGGCAGGACTTTACAACTAAATTACCTTTACTCATGCCTGTCTGAAAAGAGCCCTGCAGGCCAAGGGGCTTCCAAGCTGAAGATCAGTAGCTGTAACCGACGCATCCTCGATAGACTAAGGCTCCGTTTGTTTTGCAGAAAATGAATGAATTGAAAAATATTTTCCTAAAAATGATCACTTGTTTCGCTTGAAATAATTAGTTAATAAAAAATATTATTTATATCTAAAAATTTCCTTGAACGATGAAAACATTTTTCGTTCATTCATTTTTGTAAGCGATACGAGTGATTATTTTTTGAAAAATATTTTCCAAATCATTTATTTTCGGCGAAACAAATTGAACCTAACTCTATGCAAGACTTTCCGGTTGCAATTACTATGTTACTAGGGAGAAACTTTCCTACGGATTGGTATAGGTTAACATATTTGACTATTTTCATTTTGTAAAGAGTCCGAGGTTCGGTTTTCTCGTCACTAATGTATAATAAAGACAGTGTGGCTTGTGCACGAAGCCATCATACTTGTTTGGATCAGTTGCCAACCTACGTGCTTAAGGATACAAAAGAAATGGAGCATGTAATTCTATTAAGCATACTTGTCCACAAGTTTTGCAATGATAGACATTGACATGAACTTTATTTATATTGCATTTTTTTGGGTTTTGGTGTTTGAAGGTTCTGAGATCTTTTTTGTTTTTTTTTTTGAGGTAATTCAGATGGGATTATATCCAAGAAGGGGATAAGACGTATAAAGACATGAATCGCTTGGTAGCCTACGAGAAAGCATTGAACACTTGGGCCAAATGGGTGGACTCCAGCGTCGACCCATCGAAAACTACAATCTTCTATCAGGGAATTTCCCCCGACCATGCGAAGTACGAAAATCTGTTGATGCAAATTCATTCAATATAAGTATTAATCCATGTTTTCATTTTGTAGTTTACTCTTTGTTTGGTTGGTGGTGTTGTGATTTTGTTGAATATATTGTATACTGTTTTGCTAATCTAACTCTTGATTTATCAAATCTTATTCAAATCAAGCAGTGCAAGCGACTGGGGGGAGCCAAAGGCCAATGCCTGTCTCAACCAGACGCGTCCACTCGCCGTGTCGAGATATCCGGCCGGCCCAAACCCAGCGGAACTGGTGGTGGAGAGAGTGATAAGGTCGATGACATACCCGGTCCATCTACTTAATGTCACGTATCTCTCACAGCTCAGAATAGATGGACACCCATCGATGTATGGCTTGGGAAGACGAAGGATGTTGGATTGCAGCCACTGGTGTCTTCCTGGAGTTCCTGATACCTGGAATGTGTTCCTTTATCAGTCTCTTGTAGCTCATAGCTTTTGAATTAATTTGTACATCGCTAGAATAAATTCAAATTCAGATTTAATTCATCATGGAAATTTGGGATATTAGGGATAGAAAATTCCCTTTTTGTGGCTGGTTTATATTTTTTTAATGTTTTTTTTATATTTGGAGGGGAGAGAGGGGGTGACAAATTTGAATTCATATAAAAACGAAGCTAGATTTATAGAAGTATCAAATAATTTGGCCATATTGCAAGTTGTAATTAAGAAATTAAACATGTGATCAATATTTATATCCTTAGTAGAAATTGTTGTGTCACTCCAAAATCATTAACTATTTTCAACATTTTGCGTTCTTTTGTTTGAGCTAGTTTAATCAAGTTCCGACTCGACATATGGTGTATCTTTTGCAAACTAACGGTTACCAATATTATGAGGGATTAAAAACCAAAATAGGGTTTCCGTTTTTATACTAAGCAAAAGCTGTTAAAGCAATACATCCTAGCAAAATAAGCGATTGAATGTTATGGTACCTGTAGAAATTATTTTAAAAATGAAAAAAAATTTGCAAATTTCGACGATTAATACACATTGTTTGTGCAGGCTCAACATAACATCATGTAATTGGTCGACATTCGAATATGACATCCGCACGAGGCACGGGAAATGCAGTGGACAAATGAAGCTCTATGTTCCTACGGTTCACACACAAAACGAGTGCCCCAATTGAGGAAAGGCAGGTCGCCTGTCGAGGATCAATGGCGGCGGCGGCGATCTCAACCGCATGGGCTAGATAGCCACCACTACAAAAAAACACCGGATTAGCGACGAAATTTGCGACGGAAAATGTGGAAAAATCCGTCGCAAATCGAATTTGCGACGGAATTTTTCCGTCGCTACTAGGTCGTCGCAAAATTTTGCGACGGAAAATTCACAAGTTCGTCGCAAATTTGCGACGAAAAAAAATTCGTCGCAAATTTGCGACGGCACATAGTCCGTCGCAAATTTGAGACGGAAAAACGTCCGTCGCAAAATTCGTCGCAAATATCCGTCGCAAATTCGTCGCAAATTTCGTCGCAAATTTGCGACGAACTCGATCCGTCGCAAAATTCGTCGCAAAAATCCGTCGCAAATTTCGTCGCAAATTTGCGACGAACTCAATCCGTCGCAAAATTCGTCGCAAAAATCCGTCGCAATTTCGTCGCAAATTTGCGACGAACGTTTGTCCGTCGTAAAATTCGTCGCAATTTCGTCGCAAATTTGCGACGGACGTTTGTCCGTCGCAAAAATCCGTCGCAAATACGTCGCAAATTTCGTTGCAAATTTGCCACGAACGTTTGTCCGTCGCAAAATTCGTCGCAAAAAGTCCGTCGCAAATTCGTCGCAAATTTGCCACGACTCTGTCCGTCGCAATTTCGTCGTAAAATTTGTCGCGAATTTCGTCAGAAAATTCGTCGCGAATTTCGTCGCAAATTAGTGATAAACTTTAATGATAGTAAAATTCGGCTTAAAATATTCGTCGCTATTTTTATATCAATTCGGTCATAAATTCTTGTCCATATCAATCAAAGGAGACAATGATATATAATTGAAACAGAAAAACGAACAAACCATAAATTCTGACAAACCAGCCACAATGACATATAATTAAAACAAATAACAGAAGGAAAGTTGTTGAGTTTGGCATGATACTATTTGATATCCAAGATTACAATACAGTCAAAACATGAACTAAGAGACGAGACAACCATAGAAGACGCAAAAAAATCATACAGAAGAAGACGCGGCTTTGGTACGATGGCAGGACACCAAAAGTAGTCACTTTTGTCGAGACCTGAGGAAATGTCAATACATAAATCAGTCCAGAATATAAAAAAAGCGTTTATGCATGGATGTGGAACTAGGTGTAAAATAACAAAAGGGTTAACAAAAATACGTTTCGGGACGAACATAAATGTTCTTACGTATGAATATGAGTGAAATTATGAAAAACCAAGATTATGAAGCAAGGTTACCCCCGATTTTAAGAATTTTAACTAGAAAGACCGGAGAAAATCTTCTTCATCATCATCATCAGCAGCATTCTCGGCATCAATGTGTTGGTCATCATTGTACCCATCACCTACTGGATTGGCTGGAGGTACAGGAGGATCGGCAAGGTGTTGCATAACGACTCTCATTTGTTCTTCCAAGTTATATATTCGTTCATCCTTCTTAACAAGTAAATTATTCAAACGATTCACTTCTTGGGTCAATTGCTCGTCTCCTCGTGACCTCCTTCGACCAGTCCCAGTGGATGATGAACTTCCAGGACTATTCGGCATGTACATCCTTGATAATGATCCCATCCCAAATATTTTCCCTTTTTTCGCCCCACCCGTTGCCTCCATCCATAATGCCATATTATCAACTGGTGGCCGGGACTCAGGACAATCATCACTACCACTAGCACTGCTCATTAAAAGTTCATCATATTTTTCCTACATTAATAATGTAGATGAAAATAAAATCACTATATATATATATATATATATCTACCAAAAATATTGAAAGCATTCACGATTTTCATTATAGTTTACATATAAGCTAAAGTATAACCTTACATACCTTAACAGCTTTTGCTCGATCGTCAGTCCATGTCTTATCTTTCTTTTGAAATGTGCGTTCAAATGTAGCTGCAAATGTCGGTTCCGTCCCCAATTGGGATGCCTACAAAATGTAAACATGAGTAATTGAATTAAATTAACTTATAACTCATTTAACAGACTTACCAGTCGTTTGCGATGCTCCGCAATGTTGATAGAGCCCCCAGCATATGTGGCTGACCCATCACTAGAACTAGAAGATCGATTCTTCTTATTCTGCTCACAGAGTTGCCGACTCTGTTCAGATGCCCAAAATGTGTTAATTGCCTCCCAATTGTCAGCTGTAAAGAAAGACGGCTTCGCTTGCTTGCTCTTTCGCTCTATTCATGACATTTCGCATAAAATCACTTGTTTTCTTATCGAAAATTCTTCTCACTTCATTGTCTTCCGCTTCCTCCCACTTGAACTTCCGCTGCAATGAATAAAAACACAAATTGAAAATTAGTATGATGATTACATATCCATAACCATGCACCAGACAAATATAGACAGATTTTGTAAAGTTCATGATGGGGAAAATATCTGGTCCTTTAGGTATCGAAAACTACAGAGTTGTTCTGGTCTCTTTACATCATTCTTGACCATCAATATACTACACCACACTTAATTGGTGAGAAAATGAAATATGTAAAACTTACCTTGAACTCATTTCACCACATTTCTTTCACTTCTTGTGGAACATTTCTGTAAGTAATATACTCTCCCATCCAAAAGTTTCTTACTATTTTGTTCAATTCCCTCACAACAGACGGAGCATCCGTGAATCTGCATTCATATGAATATTGTGCAACATGAACAATTCAATTGACATCAATATCTAAAGCCCTAAATATTACATATACTAAAATAAAAATGAAGTATTTACGAATCTCCAAATGGGCATATGAAGAATCGGTTATCTTCTTGACCTCTGTTTCCGTCAATATTCGATTGTTCCGCCGAATAATGGGGTGGAACGGAAGGAGAGGGAGCTAAAGGAGATTAAGCTGGAGAACGTTCAGTTCGCATGTGGCCAAGTCCCGTAACATGTTGTTGAGTGTTGGAGGAAGGGCCAACGTGTCCATATTGTGACAGACCATACTGTGGTTGAGGGTTAGATGCCGGGACAGGGGAAGAGGAAAGGGACGGGGACGAGGACGAGGAAGAGCCTTGTCTTCTAGGCATGTGACCTCCACGTTTAAACTGACAAGTAGAAAGGTTATGCGAATATGTAAAGAACTATTGACACGTATTACGAACACATAATGATGTACATGACGAAGCTTACCATTTTGATGGAAAGACTGAGAAAATGTTTCCTTGAAATGAGCCAATATCGGGTGTTTATGACGTGCAATTTCCTACAAACAAATATACTATGAATCCCATTCATTTTGATATGAAATATCAATGTATGAGCACGATTTGGGTGGCTACAGGTATTAAACATCACTATATGAATCGCATTCATTTTGATTAAATTTTTTTTGACAACGTACAAAAATTTAAATTTCACTGAAAGTGGGTGGCCACAGGTATTCTAAGTCATTCTGTACAGTTTTGTAAGAAAAAAATTATTATTATTGCAAAAAAAAAATTTGGGCCCTAAAAAAAAATTTCACTAAAAGTTAGTGGCCACCGATATTCTAAGAAATTTTGTAAAGTTTTGAAATTTTAAAATTTTAAGCATTTTTAAATTATTATTTTTTAATATAAATTTTTTTCGTGAAATAAAAAAATTTGTCCATACTAAAATTGGGTGGCCACAGGTAGTCTAAGCTATTAAGTAAAGTTTCCAAAATTTTTGTCCTTATTTATTTTAATAATTTTTAGGGCACGTTAAAAAAATTAAATATAACTAAAAGTGGGTGGCCACAGGTATTATAAGTCATTCCGTGAAGTTTTGAAAATTTTTAAATTCTAATTTTTTTTGTGCCATCTAAAGAAATTTACATTTCACTGCAAGTTGATGGCCACATGTTTTCTAGGCAATTCTGTGCAGTATTGAAATTTTATATTTTTTTAATTTTTTTTTCACCTAATAAAAATAAAAATTTCCCTCACAATAGGTGACCACATTTATGTTAAGCCATTTTATAAGGTTATGGAAATTTTTAATTTTTTAATATTTTTTTCCCCGGAACGTTAAAAAATCTAAATTTCATTGAAAATGGGTAGTCACTATTAATTTTTGCCATTTTGTAATATTCTGAAATTTTTGTTTTTTAAAAAATTTAAAAAACTTTTACGGTCAAATTTCATATTTGTTGCCAACATATACCGTTGTTTTAATTTTCCGTAATTTTCCTTGATTTTTTATAGAATTGTTCAATTTTCAAGCATTTTCTGTGAAAACGCTTAATCAATCACCTTATCGTCATTTAACGCTTAATCATCCACATAATAGACAAATTAACCAGTCGACCATCGATCAAAGCCACATGCAATCCTGAAATCGACCCG